ATTAGAGTCCAAGAAGGAAAGGCAAGAGAGGAGGGATACAAAAAAATCTAAAGAAATAATGTGAAAACTCATCAAACCGTATACAGTAAGAGTGACTTTTACTAAAAGTAATCATGGTTCAATTAACCTGACTTTTTAAAAAGGTGTGTTTATTCACAGATGACATGACCATCTATCTGCCCAGAGAAGCCTATGAAATGTGCAAAAAAAAATCCTACAACTAATAAATTTAATCGTATTAAGATACAAGGTCAATATACAAACACCAACTGTATTTCTATAAACACAAAACAACTATAAATGAGATGTAAGAAAGACACCATTTACAACATCAGAAGTCACAAAAAACACAAGCTTATGTAAACAATATGCATGAAACCAGTACACAGAGACTAAGGAAGTTTCTCAGCAGTGTCCTGTAGGTCTCTTACAGACCTTCTTTAGATCTGTGTAGATGAACTTAGTTCTTAGATTAGAAGCCTTAATATTTGTTGATATCAATTCTTCTTAAACTCATCTATAGATTCAACACAGTAACAAAATCTCACCAAGTTTTTTTTATAAAAATTACTGTTGGTTCTAAAATTTCTAGGGAAATGCAAAGAAACCAAGATAGCCAAAACAATTTTGCCAAAGGACTACCCGATTCTAAGACCCACTATAAAGCTATACTAATCAGAAAAGTGTGTTATTATCTTAGAATAGAAACATAAATCAATGGAACAGATTTGAGTCCAGAGGGACCCACAAATATGGTCAGCTGATTTCAACTCAAGGTACCAAGGTAATCTCAAGGGAAAAGAATGCTACAGGAGCAACTGGATATCCATAGGAGGAAAAAAATAAAATGTGACACCATTCACAAAAATCAACTCAACATGGAGCAAAGATCTAAGCATGAAAAGTATTAACTATAAAACTTCTGGAAGAAAACATGAGAAAATATTTGCGTCTTCGGAATGGCCTATGATTCCTTGGGCAGGAAACAAAAGGCACTAACCATGAAAGTAAAAATTAACAAAATGGTATTCTATCAAAATTACAGGGACGCCTGGGTGGCTCAGTTGGTTAAGCAGCTGCCTTCGGCTCAGGTCATGATCCCAGCGTCCTGGGATCGAGTCCCACATCGGGCTCCTTGCTCTGCAGGGAGCCTGCTTCTCCCTCTGCCTCTGCCTGCCATTCTGTCTGCCTGTGCTCGCTCTCCCTCTCTCTCTCTGATAAATAAATAAAATCTTAAAAAAAAAAAAATTACAAATTTGCGGGGCGCCTGGTGGCTCAGTGGGTTAAAGCCTCTGCCTTTGGCTCAGATCATGGTCCCAGAGTCCTGGGATCAAGCCCCAGATTGGGCTCTCTGCTCAGCATGGAGTCTGTCCCCGCCCCCCCCGCCACCTGCCTCTCTGCCTACATGTGATCTGTGTCTGTCAAATAAATAAATAAAATCTTAAAAAAGAAACTTTTTTAAAAAATTACAAATTTGCTCTTCAAAAACAGTGTCAAAAAACTGAATAGCCAGGAAATAAACCAGAAGAAATTATTCATAATACACATCTGACAAAGAAGTTGTATCCAAAATATATGAAGAACTCTTAGACCTTAGTATTTAGAAGGAAAAGAACCCAGTTTAAGAAAGGGCAAGGGGCGCCTTGTGGCTTAGTTGGTTAAGTGTCTGCCTTTGGCTCAGTTGTGATCTTAAGGTCCCGGGACTAAGCCCCAAGTCAGGCTGCCTACTCACCAGGAAGTCTGTTTCTCCCTCTCCCTCTGCCTCCCCCAAGCTCACTCTCTCTCTCAAATAAATAAAAGCTTTAAAAAAAAAAAAAAAAAAAGGCAAAAGAGGGGCACCCGACTGGCTCAGTCAAAAGAGCACACAATTCTTGATTTTGGGGTAATAAGTTCAAGTCCCACATTGGGTATAGAAACTGCTTAAATAAATAAACTTTTTTTAAAAAGGGCAAATGAAAATAAATACATAAATAAATTTAAAAAGGGCAAAAGATTTGAAAAGCTGTTTCATGGAAGAACACACAAAATATATGACCACCTGAAAACTGCTCAGCATCATAAATCATCACAAAATACGACTAAAACCACAAAGACATGCCTACTGGAATGGCTACAATTTAGGACTGGTAATACCAAGTGTTCGCAAATATGGGACCAACTGGAAGGGTCATAAATTGCCAGCGGAAGAAGACATTGGGACACTTCTGAGAATTGTCTGGCAGCTTCTTTTAAGATAAAGCAAACTGACCATTTGGCTGGGCAGTTTTACTCCTAGGTATCACTCCCATTTTATAATTATAATTGTACAACAGGAAAACCTAATCTGTAGTGAAAAAAAGTGTTGCCAGGAGCAGGTGGTAAGGGAGATAAACTGGGGAGGTACATGAGAAGCTTGTGTGAATGAAGGAAATGTTCCATGTCTTGGTTATGACTGTTTTTACATGAGTGAATACATTTGTTAAAACTCACTGAGCTGTATTATTAAAATGGGTACTCTTTACTGTCTATAATTTATATCTGATTTTAAGTTGATTTTAAGATATATAGCAACCCACTACAACATCTGGACCTCAAGAAGATCCTGATTTGAATAAGAGCAATTTTTAAAAAGCAGGGGAGGGGATTTCGAATGTGTCCAACCTTGGGTGATACTAAGGAATTACTGTTAAGCCGGGTAATGGGCTCATGGGCTCATTTTACAATTGTCTCTGCTTTTGTATGTTTGAAATTTTCCACAACAAAACACTTTAAAAAAGTAAAGCATAACTTCAAATGTTTAAAGGGTTATTATGTAGAAAAAGAATTCAATTCTAGGAGTCATGTGGAAGAAAATCTGGATTCAATAAGAGAATGAACATGCCAAGAGAGCAATCAGTGAGTGGCCTTGTAAGGTTAGGACACTCATGCTAGGAACTGCTGATGCCCAGATCCCGTAACCACCTGCCAGGGTGCAGGAGAGGAAACTACTACAATTTGTGAAGCTAACCACGCTGCCCTCGAAGGTCCCTTCCTGCTCTAAGACTCTATTACCTGGGGATCCCTGCATCTGCCTCCTGGTTCAGTTTTCCAGAACAAGCCAGCACCCCATTTCTCCCCAGCCCTACCAAATAATTATCTATACTGTTTGATACTTCACGGAAACGATTTCAAATGTTTTCCATTTTCCCCCATGTTCATATATATCTGAAATGCCATTTTCTTAAACCCTTTCAAAATCAGAATCATGTCTTTTACCTCTTAGAATTTTGTACTCCTAACACAATACTCTGTACATACTGGGCCATCAAAATGCCTTCTTGACAACACCTTTCAGGTCAATGTTGCTTTGTAACATTGTGCCCTTTCCCCTCACCGTTCCTGTGTCTTCTCCTACCATCCCACAAGTGGAGACCCTGTCCTATATAACCTCTGTGTCCCCCAACCCAGACCTAGAAGAGGGTTCTGGGCATAGCCACAAAGAAAATAAAGAATTCCTCCCACATCTGGAGTCTGTTAAAGTTCTGAAGTGACAAGGATTCATCCTGATGATCAAATCTGAATTTGGAGATTGCCTTAATCACTGAAAATTTCATTATTCTAACTGCACAGGTCATACCTACATTTACCTGGGTGGTTGCAAACCACCACAGCCATAGAGAAAACTGAAAAATCTTTCCCATCCTGGTGGCCTTTCTCCTGAATTCCCCAGGTATTTAATGTCTTTACACTGCCCTCTGACCACCCAAATGAGAAGTGCACAGAGGGTGAGATCCTACAAAATGCCAGGTATGGCACTAGACACTTTATCATCGAGTCATTTAATTCTTCCAACAACTAGAGTAGGCATCATCTGCATTTGGAAGATGTATGACAGCTACACAAAGTTTAGTAATTTGCCCAAGCTTCTAAAGGATGAATTGGGGATTTGAAACAAGATCATCCTGCCTCAAAACTCATGCATTTTTATGGAACAGAAAAGAAAAAAGAAAAAAACAAAAAACAAAAAACCTCTTTCCTACGCAAGTCTTGAAATAACAGAACCTAATGGAAAAATATTTTCGTGTGCGGGAGGTTACTTTCTCTACAGGTCCAAGGACAACCTGGCCTCCAACTTCTGAAAGCTTGCTCATTCCCACAATTTACCAAGAAAAATGTCCAATTTCAACAAATACCACAAGGGGGAGCTAAGTCCTAAAAAGCTTAGATCTACTTCCAGATAGATTAAATGTCTCATCTGGATCATGACTCCTTTAAGAAAGATAAATCTGAATAGATACTGTGTCATAAGTGGCTCTTTCTAAGAAACAAATCTAACCACATCCTTTTCCTGCTTAAAACCTTCCAAGTATCCCCATCCCAAACAATGTAACACTACCTGTCATGATACACAACTTCCTTTACGGTTGGCCAGCTTTCCTCCAAAGACCACGCCCCTCCCCGCCCCCCGCCCCGACTGCTCTATCTACACCAGCAAGGCTTCCTCCGCTTCCCCAAAAGGCCTTTTCTTTGTAATAGCTTCCATGTTACTTCTTCGTCCTGACTGCATGCCACCCCCATCTCTCCTCCCATCCCTTCCATTTAGCAATAGCCTACATCAACCTCCCATTTGTCCTTCAACTCCCGCCAAAACACGTCTGAGCTAATTTCTGACCTTCTCTGCCCATCCTCCCACCATGATGAATCAACTTATCCAACACCTCACTCTACCACCAGGTAAATACTTTCTGCCCATACCATGCCTCCCGTGGAAGTCCTTATCTCCCTGGAAGACTAAGAGGTCTTGGAGGAGAAGAGCCATGTTTTACACCCAGCACTGACACAGCGCATATCCCCTCCAAGGGTGGAACTGCGCTAAGAACTCATCAAATTATACACTTGTGGTTTGCTTCAGAGGCGAACATAAAGGATCGGCACAAATTTTCATAAAGACATTTTAAGCTCTTTACCTCATGCTCAAGATCAACTCAAAAACTGTAATCAATCAACATTCAATCTAAAGAAACTATGTATGTCGAACTTACCGTCTTAGTTAAATAAAATATGAATGAATATATTAAAAGAATTGCATTTTCCAAAGGTGTGACACTTGCTGGCTCTTCAGCATTTGTTTCTAGTTGCTTTTTTGCATCAACAGCATCAACAGGACTGCTTTCTGTTGTAATTATCCCTAAAATTGAGGGTAAAAATTAATATTTTATTTTAGTCTTTAGAGTAAGACTTGTTTCTCTCCATTTAAAATATCTATTGAGTGCCCACTGAATATTAGTCAGTGGCTTCTCTTAAAGACTTATATGGTTTAATGGCACCTCGCTGGCTCAGTAGGTAGAGCATGGGACTCTTGATCTCAGAGTCATGAGTTCGAACCCCATGCTGGGGATAGAGATTACTTAAAATAATAAAATATTTACTTAAAAAAAAAATATATATATATATATACACATATAGCTTTTATATGTCTTATATAAAGACTTATATAACTTACATAATTTTTCTCTTTAAAGAATTATAAAAAGAAGGGGCACCTGGGTGGCTCAGTCGGTTAAGAGTCTGCCTTCAGCTCAGGTTATGATCCCAGGGTCCTGAGACTGAGCCCCGCATCCAGTTCCCTGCTCAGCGAGGAGTCTGCTTCTCCCTCTCCCTCTGCTCCTCCCCCCCTGCTCGTACTCTCTCGCTCTCAAATAAAATAAAAATAAATAAAAATTATAAAGAGAACAAAATTCAGAATGCCCATTAGAGCCATCATACCCTTCCGCTATGAAATGAGCGCACCTCCAACAAAATCTACCCCACACCAAACGCCTCCATCATGTCCCTCCCTGGCAAGGCAACTGCTCTCTGAGCAGCAGTTAGTCGTGGGAACTGAGAAAGGCGGAATTATTTTATGTTTTTCCCACACAGACACAGTTGCCTTTAGCAAACATTTAGTGCAGGTGAAGCACTGTGTTAGAGACGTCAGGCAAACCATGAGTGAGTGTCAGCGTGCAGACCTGCAGGTGGAACAGTCCAACGCTTAGCCCGGCGCCTGGCACCTGGCGGGCACTCAGTGGCTGCTGACCGAACAGACGAATGACAGTTCCACAAAAGCGAATATGGCAAATGCCCAGAGACGCTAATGGGAACTGCTGACAGCGTGGGGGGGATCTGCCTAAGAGGTAGGATTTCAGCATTGCCTGAAAGGGTTTCACCCGCAGAGGTGATGGGGAGGGATTTCAGTTTGAATTACTTGAGTCTGGGACACGTCTTAGGAAACCACTAGAAGCTCAAGCAGCAATTAGTGATGGGTGGGGCAGGGGCCTCCTGCGTCTCCTCCAACCAGGAGACTCCATTCACTATTGATCTGGGAACCTGACCTCTGAAGTGTTCTGTGTCAGGCGAGCATCTCCACGCCAGAGACGCAAGAAGGGATATTTGCGAAGATGAGCCTATAAAGGCAGTCGATATTATTTTGTGACAGACCTTAAAGGACAGGGCAAAAAATCTGTTTTTAATTCTGCAAGCAGAACTTTTCCTAGCCCAGACAGTTTTTGAGCAAGAGAATAACAAGACTTCATGGTGTATGACTCATTTTCAGTAAGGAAAACCCTTCTGACTGAAAGTTTAGAACCAGAGAGGACGACGCATGAATGTTCCCCTGGAACACGGGAGACGTCTGATATGACATTTCTTCTAGAATTTGCAGAATTCCTCCCCACGCTGGCTTCTCTGGTACTCTGAAGAGAGGGGGAGGGTCCAGCCAGGGCTAGAGTATCACAGGGAAATGCTACAGTTAGAGACCACAACCTCTAAGAACACAAACACGGTAATGAAATCACGCCACCACAGCGGACACGCAAAACAGCACGACCAACTCTTCTTCATTAGAAACCGTGATACCATTACCGGGGCTGAATTATTGTTTTAAACATTTTCCTCAATTCAAGGGAAATGAGCTGCTCTCGACTGACTGACTGCTGTGCTCTGTGATGCAGTTATATGGACCGGCCACTCGGGACCACCACACACTGCCAAGTCCTGCACTGTTCCCTATGGAGAGATACCAGGCGTAAATGTCCCCTCCGCTGTTTTTAAAAAGGTTCTTGCTGAGTCTAGGCAGCAAATGAACAAAAGAGCTAAGCCACAGTGTAATCTACTGGGGGCAGGGCGGGGTGGAGGGGACTAAGGAGTGGGGAGAAAACATGGAATTTGTGAGTTTCAGCACAGTGGTTCTCAAACTTTCAAGGGATCAGAATTTCCTGGAGGGCCTGTGAAACACAGCTTGCTGGTCTCTTCCCCCAGAGTTTCTGATGCCTCTGGTCTGGCTAAAAACTGTTTATATTCTACTATGTTAGAACATAAGGCTTTTTAGAATAATATTTTAGATTAAAATTATTCACATAAGTAATGACAGCCAAACATTGGTTTTTGGTTACAGTCTCTGGTCTTTTTCGTACTGCTGATCTCCACCCGCCTTGACTCCTGCTTTTCTTTCCCTTCTGGGGTTTCTTATTTCTTAAACTCACTCATTGAGCCTCTTTTATTCTCCCTTCTGATTTCCTACCTTTAAGAACAAATGTCCAGGGGTGCCTGGCTGGCTCAGTTGGTAGAGCATTTGACTCCTGATCTTGGGGTCATGAGTTTGAGCCCCACACTGGGTGCAAAGATTACTTAAATAAATAAATATAAAAAGGGGGGGGGAGAAAGAACAAATAAAAAAGAGCACAGAAGCTCTTCTTTATGACATACCTCTACTTCATAGAGAAAAATCTGCAAGCTTTACCTGGGTCTATGTCTTTCTCAGTATTTGGCTCCTGTGACACGTCTGGGCCACCCTTGTCACCAGTCACAGGTTGATCCAACTGGCTGGGCTCTTTGAGAATCTGTACTTTAAGGTCCTCTGCATTATCTTGTGGGAAATTGTCTTCTGAGTTATCTTGTGGGAAATTGTCTTCTGGGTTATCTTGCGGGAAACTGTCTTCTGGGTTATCTTGTGGGAAATTATCTTCAAGGTGTGGCTGCCTCCCTACAGGGAAGAAGAATGCATTGGGCTGGCAAAGCCTGCTGACACTCCCCACTCTGCCTTTCCCACTGGGCAGCTCTGCCTCACCATCCACCCCCCCCCCCCCCACGCTCCACTACTGCCCTCCACATCCCGGTATCCCAGGGAGCACAAATGAGCAGGGAAGTAAGGTTTCAGCTGCTTTAGTCTCACTTCACAGACAGCTAAAATTTATAAGGCAACCCTTCTTCCAAGTATTTTATAAACAAACACATTTATGGTAGGGTCATCAATAACCTAACTTTCCTTGACAAATCAACACATCATCACACAGATAAAGGTACAGAAGAGAATCCAGTCAAGTGCAGAAACATGAACATCTACCCCGCGCAGGAAGACCATGAACTCCTTCATGCATGAGCATGCTTATTTCCCAGAGCTGGCACAGAGAAGCCCATTACATACAAAGGCAGTCTGAAGTACCTCTCAAATATTTCCAGAGCATGTCTAATCGTCAAAGAGAGGGAACCCACTTCTTTCCCCAAGAGGCTCAGGCCATGCCCAATGCAACCCACGGCAAAGATGAATTACTTTAAAGCCTCATAGTTTACCCTGAAAATTCATTAGAATGCTTGCATTCTAATGCAAAACAGATCTGCTTTGATTATACACAAAAATGTTCCCATCCCCAAATTCTCCGGAAACATTGGTCCTCTGAGAAGACACATTTATTCTTGTGACTTTATGTCTCCCTGGTACTCTATCATACGTCTCAATTCAAATACCTCAGTCTGGAAAGCACGGGGACACAGAACAGGGCACGGAACGAGGAATAAAGTTATATCAGGATCCTGGATCAGGGTCTATTCAATCACTATTTACAAAAAGGCTTCTATCTGGCGAGTGCTGCATCAGAGAGCTCTGCGTCCCCAGTTCAGTCACTGATTAATCTGAATGCAAGAATCCTAGGGCCCAGCAGAATTTAATGTAAGTGACGGCTCCAAAGAGGCAAGAAAGAACATGAAAACCACAAAAGATGAAAACGGGGCGGGGGGGGGGGGGGGGGACTAGATGAAGACCTCAGGCAAGGTATCAATTTAAACGTTATTCCTGGGGGCCTGGGTGGCTCAGTCAGTTAAGCATCTGACTCTTGGGTTCAGCTCAGGTCACGACGCCAGGGTTAGGAAATCAACCCCCACATCAGGCTCTGAGCTCAGCGTGGAGTCGGCTTGAGATTCTCTCCCTCTATCCCTCCCCCTGCTCACTCTCTCTCTAAAACAAATAAAACCTGTTTAAAAATAAATAAAAAATAAACATTATGCCAACTAATCCTTGGTCAGAGAGCACTTAGTTTGTGCTTAAGAAACTGTGTTCCAAAGAGCCCTTTCAGAGGCCCAGGGATAAAAGGCACAGCACAGGGAATCCAGTCAGTGGTGGGGTAATAGTGTTGTAGGGAGACAGATGGGAGCTACACTTGCAGTGAGCCCAGAGGACTGCATAGACTTGCAGAGTCATTATGCTGCACACCTTGAAACTAATGTAACCCTGTGTCTCAACCAGACTTCAATTAAAAAAAGAATTTACTTGGGGTGCCTGACTGGCTCAAACAATAGAACATGCAACACCTAACCTTAGCGTCATGAGTTCAAGCCTCATGTTGGGTATAGAGCTTACTTTAAAAAAAAAAAAAAGGTTTTTTTACTAAGTTAAAAAAAAGTTACCTTTCATAATTTTATATGATGTATTTTGTTAACAGGTTTACTTGGTGTATCATTTTCTTGTCTATAGCTTTCTCGTTCTCTGCTTGTCAAGTCTCCTTTCGAAAATGCTACCAGTCCCAACTGTCCGAAGGGAAAAACAGTGAGAAATCCTTACCCACGCTCTGGCCTGGAAGAAGGCAGGAAGGGACATGCCGACGTCACAGGGCTATTGTCCCTTACCTTCAGGCACACTGTAAACTGGTCAGAGCTTCAGAAATAAGGCAGCAAGCCCTCCAGCAGCCATGTACCGCCCCCCCCCCGCTTCTCAAGCGCACCCCCACGAGGCCACAGGCGGGCACTTTACCTTCCATGGAGCCGCCCCAGCCTTCGGGCGGGCGCTGGGCTGTGGTCGGGGGTTCCTTCTCCTCCAGCGCCGAGTGTTTGTACCTGACGAAATAGATCAGGTCTTGAATATCGTCCAGCACCGCCGCCTCCTCAAATACGTCATTGTCCTTCATTCCCAGATCTCTGCTCTCAGTCACACGGGCGTCCAGCATTTTCTCCGCGGTGCTCAGAATGTGGGACTCGGAGGCTCGGAAGACCTTATCCAGGACCTTTTCCACGTTATAGGGCAGGCTCTCCTGCTGCGCGGACTTCAGCCTTGACGCCATTTCGTGGAACATGGCTTCCAGCTCATGGACATCAAAGTACTTCCGGAGCCTCTGTAGAGACTGCTGGTCTTTAAAGAAGCTGCCGACGACAGGCAGGTCCTCCACGTCGTCGCTGCGGGCCGGGGTGTGTGCACCCAGCGCCCGGGGTGGCCGGTCACCTTCGTGCTCCTCGGCGCCGGTCCCCTGGCTCTGTGTGTCCGCGAGCCCCTCAAAGTCCTCCTGGTCCTCCTCCGAGAGCTCTCCTACCCCCGGCTTCCGCGTGGATTCGTCAGCGCGGTCTTCCTTAAAATCATCAGTACCTTGATTCTGAAACATTTCACCCAACTCTAGAGTCTGATTTTTCTTGTCAGGAGAGTCCCTGCCCTCAGAGGCCCTCTGTGCTTTCTGAGCTCCAGGAGGGCTTTCTGTTTCCGCCGCCCCGCCCCCTGGGTCTGCCCTACTGCCCAGAGTTTCACTTTGTCTGTCAATTTCCAAAATATTACCAGTTTCTTCTTTGCTTCCTTCCCTTTCTGCATCAGGATTAATGGCGCCTACAACAGCCCCTGGGGGGGCCGGCGGATTAACGTCTAACCACCCGCCCTGGATCTCAGGGCTTTTTTCTTTAGACTGTTCTGCACTTAGAGCATTTTCATCCTCCAGGAGCTCTTCGGGGCTGTCATCGCCCTCTGCCTCTGGTCTCTCAGTATGGACACCAGGTCCCTGCGGGCTCTCTGTCTGGCCTGTTGCCTCCACTTCCTGTGAGCCCGCTTCGGGCTTGTAAGGAGTAACCTCTTCACCAGAGGAGCCCTCCTGGGCCTTGTCCCCCAAGAGTCTCCTCTCCTCACCTGTCTGCTTGTGTGCGGCCACCTCTTTTCCTTGTGGCCGGGAAAGATTTCTTCGCCCAAGGGGACCCTCTTCTTCCAGTTCTCTTGGCAACCCGACTTCATCCAGAGGGGAGGGTCTAGGCTGATCCTGAGTTTGAGGACGCCGTTCCTCTTTAAATTCCTCACTTGGACGTTCCACTGACAGCGTGTGCAGCTGAGGTCCCCCTGCTAGAACAGGTACTTCCTCCACCTTATCTCTGGACGTGTTACGCTGGTGACCTCCCAACCGTGGTGCAACACCCAGAGCCGCCTGTCCAGGCTTTTCCTCGTTCACTTGACTCTCTGAAGCTTCAGGTTTTGGTTCACGTCCTGAGCCCCCTCCCAAAATCTGCTCTCCAGGCTTTTCTTCACGGAGCATTCCTTTTGAAATGTGAACAGCTGCTCCTTTTAGGTCATTTTCTTTGTTGTCAAAGGCTGATGCCAACACTTCTCTACCCCTTCCAGCAGCTGGCAAAGAGCCAGGGTCGCTGCTCTGAGGAGAACTGTGAGAAGTCATGCCTTCCTGCTTTTGCCCCTCCAGCCCCTCCTCAGCCTGTGCCAGGCCTCTCTTGGATTCCTCAACGTTCCTCCCTTTTTCTGTAATGTGAATTTCCGGGTCTTTGTCATTATTTGTTTTAGGGACATCCACGGTCAAAAGACTATCTTCTGCTTTTTTAGGGTCAATAGAATCCGTGGCTGATTGTGATTTCCCCAATTCGCTACCTGGGACAAATGCATCATCACCCTCCTCTGAATCAGAGCTCCCTAAGTCCACACCTGTTTGTCTGCCACCGTCTGTGAAGGGGAGGATAATATCCTCCCAGTTTGTTACTACATTTTCCTCATAGTTTTTGATGCCAGGGGGCTGAGCAGCCTCCACCTTGTCCTCTTCGTCTGAACTCTGCTCTCTATCCACTGAATTGTTCTCAACTGCAGACATCGCTGGAGGTCTCACATCTTCATCTTCTTCGCCATGTGTGAAGGTCAGTAACAGCAGCTCATCAAAGTTCTCTTCATTCTCCTCTTCCTCCTTGGCCACTGTGTAATACTCAGTGTCCAATTCCTCATCCAAATCATCTTCTAAGGAAGTAACGAGTCTGGTTGTCTCATCATCAGATACAAGTGCATCGGCAGTGGAGCCAAATTTGGTTTTCAAGTCCAGAGTCATTTCTTTTTTTAAAAGTTTATAAGCATCGATCTTCTCCTGTTCACTCGAGACCTGAGAACCATTGCTGGTTTTGTTGTTTTCACTTTCTGGCACTTTTAGTTTATCCTGTAGCATCTCCTCAAAAGGTTCAAATGAAGTTGGGTCTCCCTGAGCGTGACCTGCTTGACTGTTTACATGGGGGTGGTTCTTCTGAGCCCCAGATCTTTCCTTGAGTTCCTTAGCGTTTTCTGAGAAGACGCTTTCACTCTCCTCTGAGTTAACTTCTTCTGGTTCTGGTTCAATGTCACTTTCCTCAAATGCTTCAGGAGGGGTGTCCCCATGCTGAGGTTTTTCTATACCTTTCTCAGAATCTCCAGTTACAGAACTGTATAATTCCAAAAATCCTAAAAGTTCTTCTATGTTGTAATTATCAAAATCATCTCTTCCCCCATCAAAACAAACAAAATCTGTCTCCTACAAGAGGAAAAAAAAAAAGTTAGCATGTTACTAAGTATCATAAGAGCAAACTCTTACCCATGCTAACAGAAGGAATCTCATATTGGCTCTGGAGTGGCTTCTGTGCCCACCTTGGGCAACAACTCTTCTTGGGTAGTGAAGGGATACAGAAGTTGAATCCACTTTTCCCTGGTTCCCTGCTTCCATGCAGAAGGACTCCTTCCTAATTACTACTCCTGACCACCCTTCCCTGTCTCCTCCCCCAGAGGAAACATGATTCATGTGGCTGGTGTGTTTGCCCTGCACCATCCCTATTTTCTGTTAGGGACCCGCTGGAGGGAACACATATCCTCCTACCCCCCGCCCCCCAACACCACCCCACTCACTGTCAGTTTTACAGGGACAGTCCCCTGGGGGTGGCCCCCCATTAGGCAGCTCTGTCTGTGGCCAGGCAGTCTGTCTTATTCTTGACTACAAAGTTAGAAAGCCCACTATTTCTGCAACCTGAGCCATGTTCACTGAAAGGCTTTATCAATAAATAATAGTGACAATTTGGTCTCCATGTGCCTGATTCCTGGGTCTCTCAATTTGAGCACAAGTGGAGAAAAAGCAGGGTGTCATTTGTTGGGTTTCCCCCAACTCCCAATATCTATGCCTGATGTTCTGGAAATTCATCTCATAACAGTTTGTGCAGAAGAAGCTGGAAGGCCACCCAGCTTCCCTATCACTGTGCCCTCTGGGCTATACTTCTGTTTACCCCGCTAGAGACAGGCAGAATCTCCTTGCTGTCAGGATCTAAGTCTACACAGATTTTTTTGGCTCATATTTTCTTTATACGGAAAAGACTGATCAGCTTAGGAAGTATCTTATTAAAACACAGAGGCATGGGAACTAAACATATAATGGCCCAAAGAAGGGTGTCCAGGGGGCTCCCCACTTAATTCTTATCTCAAATACACCATGAAAACAAGATTCAGGAAGGAGTATACTCTAACTCTAAATCAGGGTTCTAGGTGTCATTAAGATCTGTTCTCAGCCTGATATGAGGGAGAGGAGATGCAACATGGGGGGTTAAGGAGGTAGGAGAAGAGTAAATGAAACAAGATGGGATTGGGAGGGAGACAAACCATAAGTGACTCTTAATCTCACAAAACAAACTGAGGGTTGATGGGGGGAGAGGGTTTGGGAGAGGGGCGTGGGGTTATGGACATTGGGGAGGGTATGTGCTATGGTGAGTGCTGTGAAGTGTGTAAACCTGGCGATTCACAGACCTGTATCCCTGGGATAAAAATATATTATATGTTTATAAAAAATATAATTAAAAAAAAAAGATCTGCTCTCAGAACTATTTATAAATCTATATTCTTCCTTTCTTCCAATAATAAGCAAAATTGACATAAAATGGGCCATACACAGAGGGAAAGTTAGAAAGCCAACAAAGATAATTCTCTTCTCCTAACTTAACTTTCACAAAAGTCTGAGGAGCCCCTGACCAGTGCAGTAGGGATGGATGATTTCTTCTTTTCATCACTTGTGTTTCCAAGCTATTTTCATTTCTTTTTTTTTTTAAGATTTTATTTATTTATTTGACACAGAGAGATCACAAGTAGGCAGAGAGGCAGGCAGAGAGAGAGGAAGGGAAGCAGGCTCCCTGCTGAGCAGAGAGCCCGATGTGGGCTGGATCCCAGGACCCTGGGATCATGACCTGAGCCGAAGGGAGAGGCTTAACCCACTGAGCCACCCAGGCTATTTTCTTAATACTGAGTGAAGCGTGCAGTGGGAGATACAGTAAGAAGGCAGGTTCCTAAACTAGCGAGGTCACCGGGGCCGATGGCACGGCTGTCTCACACCTCGATCCTGGGGCAGGGTGTCTTTATTAGGAATGAGGCCAGACTCATTCTGGGCTGATTTTATGACCCTTGAGATTATCGAGAAACGTGAAGGACAGCACCGGCTCTAACACCACATATTCTGTCCGTCTCATCTAAGAATGGCCTGAGGCCAGGAGCACCCATGTTCTACAGCCCTGCAAAGAACTGCTCAAGGATTCTTGAATGAAAGTGAGTGTCAATTACTATAAATTTTAAAACTCCAGAAAATAGTTAGCAGGACTGAGGATCCTCACCAGCACAGAGCCACGGGTCAGTGCACTCAGTGAATTCTGTGCAGGGTACGCAGTCAGTACTGTGCAGATCTGAGACCAGACCTCCTCCGAGTCTCTCAAATTCCCTGTTCCAAACCTATACCATAACTACACCCCCGAAATCACTAAAGACTCAGTAATAAGAAAACCAACGTAAATTGGCATTTGTGGCCTAGTACATAATGTAGGGTTCAATTTTCCCTGATGTCTTTATACTTAAATGTCTAAGAGCTATTCAGTGAGTGGCTTCCTAATTGAGATACCTTCTTCTTTTGTTTCTAAAAAGATTTACCTCTTGGGGTGTCTGGGTGGCTCAGTCGGTTAAGTCTCTGACTCTTGATTTTGGCTCAGGTCATGATCTGAGGGTCATGAAATCGAGCCCTGTGTTAGGCTCCGCGCTCAGCGTGAAGTCTACTTCAGTTTCTCTCCTTCTCCCTCTGCCCCTCCCCCTGCTCACGCTTGCTTGCTCTCTAAAATAAATAAATACATTTTTTAAAAAATGAAAGTAACTAAATAAGAAGATCCTGAATTCTTAATTTTTTTCTCATATAAGGCAGCAAAGAAAAACCCTATCTATACATGTACACATATTAGACAGCTAGCAAATAATGAGAGTCTCCTATAAATTCTTTTCAGACTCTTCTTTCTTCTTTTTTCTATTTTTAAAGGTAATCTGATTCTAAATTAAAACTTGGTACACACATGTGAACTTGGTTTTTTTCCTGGCCAAAACACAAAGACTTTCAAAAATCATTAACTGACTGTCACTGATGAATTTCAAAGGTAACTTATAATTGAGAACCAAAAAAAAGTCCATAACTTACATCTGCTGGAACCCGTAGCTCCTCCTTAGTATATTCATAGACTACTTGGATTAAATCCCTTGGAAAATATCCAAAAATACGCCCCACCTATATGAAGGAATGGGCAAAAGAAAAACACCAATCAATATTCTGTGTGAGAAATACAAGGGGCAGACTTCTTAGCAGTGAGAGGAAATACACAGATAGGTAGGGAGGCATAACCACAAGAGATAGATAGTTGCCCTTAAGATTACACAAATTATTATTCCAATGAAAATTAAGTACGGACTATCTTAAAGATGTAACTTTTCTAAAACCACTCAAGTTTCCCTTCAACATGCAACTTAATTCTATTTTTTTTAAGATTTTATTTATTTATTTGATAGAGAGAGAGAGACAGAAAGAGGGGGAACACAAGCAGGGGGGTGGGAGAGGGAGAAGCAGGCTCCCCGCCGAACAGGGAGCCGGATGCAGGACTCGATCCCAGGACCCTGGGATCATGACCTGAGCCAAAGGCAGACGCTTAACAACTGAGCTACCCAGGCGCTCCCAACATACCACTTAATTCTAACCATAGAGTACATAAAGTTAGATTTCTCAAGTAGATAAAAGACCTACATAAAAGAAAGTTATTGTATATTTTGTTACTATGCAAATCAGGGGCACCTGGCTGGCTCAGTCAGAAGAGTGAGTGACTCTTGATCTCGGGGTTGTGAGTTTGAGCCCCATGTTGGGTATAGAGATCACTTAAAAATAAAATCTTAAAAAAAAAAAAAAATGAAAGCTGGTTAGAAACACAATTGCAAATAACCTCTAGCAATAATTTACCAGCACATGTCACAGCTTTGGCTCATCAACTGGTACTCAGAAGTCTTTTTTAAACCAGTAAACAGCCATGAAAATTAAGTAAAAAGAATATAAAATTCCTAAAAATATGTGATTAATATAATAAAAAGCAAATATTTATTGATAGAATGGGCTATAGTAGCTTTTTCAAAAACTAGATTTTCCAGTATTGGGGGAAGAAAATAAAATTCATACTAATGTATATATCAAGCTGTAGTTTCATGCAAAATAAACCTCTAGAGAAAATAACACTATTTACCTACAGCACTAATGGCTAAAATACATAAAGTATGTCTTCTTGAGACGCATATACTGTCTTCTACTGGCTGCATCTGAAATTGAAAGCAGATCTCTTCCAAGGAGGCTGACCCAACACACCAAAGAAGAAAAAGGCTATCTTATCACCAACTCCTAAAATATCCTCATTAGGAGTGCTGCTGTTATACCTGGCAAATACGTGAAAGCCAGTCTCTGTACTAGAATACGGTCCTGAAGATTAGATAAGACAGGGCAATTAAAAACTACTACACTGGCAGCTAAAATCAAAAACTCTACAAAACCAAAAAGGACTCCAATACAAAACTAAAAAACAGAAACAAGAATGATTTTGAAAGCTAAGGGAAGATAATTTTTAATTTCTTAAAGCGTAAGTTTCATGAAATAAGAGGAGAGACTGAGAGAAAATATACTTTTTTTCCTTTTCAGGAAAATTTTATTAGGAGAAAATATGGGGGGGCACCTGGGTGGCTCAGTCAGTTAAGCGGCTGCCTTCAGTTCAGGTCATGATCCCAGAGTCCTGGGATCGAGTCCCCGAATCGGGCTTCCCGCTCACTGGGGAGTCTCCTTCTCCCTCTGCCAGCTGCTCCCTCTGCTTGTACTCTGTCTCTTTCTCTCTGTGTCAAATAAAAAGAAAAAAGAAAGAAAGAAAAAGAAAAAAAAAAGAAAAGAAAATCTGGAAAAGGGAGAGAAATCAGAAATACATGGATAAAGGAAATACATTTGTCTTTGTGTAGTCTCTGTCCATTGACACCACAGGTCATATAAAACTCCATATTTTGGTGGTGTCTGGCTGGCTCAGTCGGTAGAGCATGTAACTCTTGATCTGAGGGTTGTGGGTTCAAGTCACATGTTGGGTATAGAGATTCTTAAAAATAATAAAATCTTAAGAAAAAAATCCATATTTTTACACTGTGGGGGGTGGGTATTGTGTCTTGGGATCTGACAAAAGGAGGTTCAGAATCATGGACCCTCAGGACTGGAAGTCAGCTTTATTTCTAATTTTGTTTCCGTATATCATCCCTCCAAGGAACTGCTGATTTGACTGGGGAGAATCAGAACATTTGTTCAAGAGAATAAATTCTGCATAGGCTACTATCAGGACAAATATAAATTAAGTGCCTCTGCCCAGAAAGGGAATATTCAAAAGGAAGGTGGGTAAGACACGGGCCCTTCCCTTACGGGGTTTATGACTTTATAGGAGCAAAGACGGTACACAAACCAACTGTAATACAAAGCAGTAAAAGGGATGCCACGTGAGCAGTGCAAACAAGGTGCCACCAGAGTGATCATCAAACAGCACAGAGCCCTCCGGCTGGGTGCTGAGAGCAGTGCTTCCCTAAGGAGGCAGCAGGAGCAGTGACCTCGGCCACAGGAAAATGCAAGTCAAGCTCACGTACCAAATGCTCCAACTTAACCACCTCACTGTACAAAAAACATGCAGCCTAGGTACACAGAAAAAACGTTCCAAGAGTAAAGACTATCAAGAAATCTCATGTAGTTGAGTTGAAGGAGATAGAACATATCCTTCTTTGTATCTAGGGATTCGATCAGGATTCTGCCCAAATGACAAGGGCTGAACCTGACCCATTAGTTGGTCGTTCAAGAGTCCCCCCTAGGAACCTGGAACACCAACAAAATTAATCTATTTTTCCTTGTGTAGGTTTCTCAAGACCTATTTTCTGTGGTGTGGTATTTTACTGAGAGGGAAAGTTTTGACAGTGGGGACTGGGTATTCCTAAAAGTTTGAACAATCCTAAGGACATCAACGACTCTTACAACTTTCAGTAAATAAACAGTCCACACATCACACTTTTTAGAGAGGAAAGGAAAAGAACTATCAGCCTCTCAATTAGGTTCCTCCTAGGGAATCTCCTCATTAAAAACATCAAAAGCATGAGCATTATTTACAGTAGCCAATGGCGCGCCTGGGTGGCTCAGTCGGTTGAGCATCCGATCTTGACTTTGGCTGAGGTCATGATCTCTGGGTCGTGGGATTGAGCCCTGGGTCATGGGATCAAGTGCCCCGTAGGGCTCCATTCTCAGCAGAGTCTGCTTGTCCCTTTCCCTCCCCCTCCGCCCTGCTCCTGCAAGTGCATTCTCTCGTTATCTAAATAAGTAAATAAAATCTTACAATAGCCAAAAGGCGGAAGCAACCCAAGTGTCCACCAACTGATGAGTGGATAAAGATGTGGTACACACACACACACACACAGAGCGGACTATTACTCAGCCATAAAAAAGAACTAAATCTTGCCATTTGCACCCACATGGATGGACCTAGAGGGTATAATGCTAAGAAAAATAAGTCGGTCAGAGAAAGATAAATGCCATATGATCTCACTCGTATGTGAAATTTAAGAGACAAAACAAAGGAAAAAGGAGACAAAACCAGACACTCGAATACAGAGAACAAACTGGTGGGTGCCACAGGGGAGGTGGGTGGAGGAAGGAGTGAAACAGGCGAAGGGGATTAAGAGTCCAGTTATGGTGATGAGCACCGAGGAACACACAGAATTGTGGAGTTCCTCTACTGCACACCTGAAACTAACAGAACACTCTAAGTTAATTATACTTGAACAAAAAAAAATTTTTTACAAAAATCAGAGCACGATAGAGTCATCGGTTTCCATGTCTGCCCTCAGGGCCCCCTAAAACCCACTGGGAAGACAGCAGGTGGGGGAACAGGTGTCCAGGAACAGGTGTCCGAAGAGCAGGAAAAGGACGACCCAGAAGTTGCGAACAAAACAAGGAACCAAAACACACACAATGAAAAGGACATCTTGATTTTTTAACAGACTCGTAACAGTACGGATGGTTAGGTAACTGGTCCCAGAACTGCCAATCTTTCACAAATATTAATAACTTAGAAAAAAATACACATACAGTGAACTTCAAATGTGAACACGTGAAACACTGTTCTGCACAAGGTTTGCAGGATTAAGTCTAATGCTTCATGCACCCTTCTGTCGTGAAGCGCGAAGTTCAGAATTTTCAGGTTTCGCCCCTACACCCTTTCCTATGGATGCAGCATTCACAGTCAATAAGGCCTGGGACTTACTGCTGAGAAGCAGCAACCAGAAGCAGTTTGGTTCTGTTAAAGGATAAGAGCAAAGCCCCTTCTCGGGGCCAGGCCTGACGCCTGCCGGGGACACACAGCCACCTTCTGCTTTCCCAGTCCAGCAGAGAGGACCACTGAACTCCATCAAAGACCCCAGGAAAAGAGTTATTTCCTTCTACAGTGCTAAACAAGCCAATAAAAAGTAAGAAGATAAAGTGTGTCAAATTTGTACTTACACTTCCGGCCCAAACTTCAGGTGGTCTCCCTGCCAGCTTATAGTACACATATACTGGGTCCCCTTTTTTAAAACTCACGAAACGACAATCCGGACCTGTAAAATCTTCTAGAGCCTCCCCCCGGTACATTAACACTGTATGCACAGACAGGGGGGAAAAAAAAGAGAGAAGAACAGGTATCAGGATTCAACTTTCACAGTCCGTTCTGATTTATCAGGCAATAGGAGGGTGTCCTCTATTCTGTAAACGACAGCCAAGTTTCTCCAGAGCTCTCTGGAATCAATCGCTCTCAATCCATAGGCTCTGAGTATCTAAAATCTTTAGAGCTTTATTGTTATTTATCATCCCCCTACAAGCAGAGAGACGGCCACTTTCCCTGTTTTTCCCTATGGATAAACAAAAAGCAATGAGTCCACCGCCACACATAGCTGGTGTCAAAAGAAACTCTTGGTCCCCTCTCTAACCTTCTTGTCCTCAATCTCTGCTCTTCCGCCATAAAAAGATTCATGGCACAATTGGATGAATTCAAGGGCTGATGCTGGCTGGCTTAAGTATGGCTACACAGAGAGGTAACAGGGGGTGGGGGAGAGCACCCAGGAACCCCCAAGGGGTCAATTAACTTGAACTAACACTAAAAGTCACTGTCATTAAGGGACTGTAAGTACGCCCATGCAGTAGTAAACACTGTTGACTTCATCACGCTGTTCTCCCCTTACGGTATCTGCATAAGTAAATGGGAAAGGACATCACATCCTATTACCAGTCCAATCACATGAAGTGGTGACGTCAAATTATTATGAAAGTAATGTTCACTGTACCCACCATTACAAAGGTTTCATCACAAGAGGAAGATAACCTTCTATATTTATGGCTATAGACAAAATCACAAGTGGGCATCACATGTTGCTGGACAAGCAAAACTCTGAGAAATGTGCAGTAGGTACCTTCAGTCTTAAAATGCAGGACTTAAATCACACTTGGTCTAGAAAATAGTAGAAGCAGCATTTTTTTCTTTTTGTTGGCCAAATCTGATACAAGATGAAATGGATACTAGATACAATTAAATAGCAAAAAACCCCAAACAAACCAAAAAATGGTGACATGGAAAGAACACACTTTCTTAAAGCCAGTGAGCCACAAATACATTAAAATGTATCTTTAGAGGTGCCTGAGTGGCTGAGTGGGTTAAAGCCTCTGCTTTTGGCTCAGGTCATGATCCCAGGGTCCTGGGATTGAGCCCTGCATCAGGCTCTCTGCTCTGCAGGGAGCCTGCTTCCCTCTCTCTTTGCCTGCCTCTCTGTGCCTACTTGTGATCTCTGAATGTCAAATAAATAAATAAAATCTTTTTAAAAAATAAATAAATAAAAATAAAACGCATCTTTAAATACATATCTGAGGGACGAACAGATAGATAGGAGGGCAGTGATGTGGATTTTGAAGCTGAAATCCACACTTGTCAGCAACATAATTCAGATATAACTGGGGGAAAGACCAGACTGAAGGTGATGGACAATTTAAAGATCGGGGATTCTACTGCAACTGGAAATGGCAATGTTTGTTTCCCACTTAGAAGAGATCACTAAAAAGTTGTAACAATAAATTAGATGACAACATTACCACACACTGTGGAACAACTTTCTGAAAAACACAGGAGAACAGTGTGATCTCTCTCTCTCTCTTTCTCTCTCTCTCTCTCTTTCTCTCTCTCTCACACACACACACACACACACACACACCTTACTAGATACTTTATGTGACACGCGGGGCTGCTGCCCCTTGTGTTTTGGTTCTGTCTGGACACATGCCATTTCTCAAATTCTGCGACAAGTAAGGGCACTTCCAACCCCCGTCTCTGTACTGGGGAAGCATCAGCGATGTGACTCCCTAGGTAACCGGTTCTGAGGAATCCTAGTGGGGGGGGTGCTTGGAAGCGAAGAGGGGCAAACGTTTGGTCTTAGCCAACCCTGCCTGCTAATCACCTGGGTTTGCTCGGATAAAACTGAAGGGGAGAAGTGTGGAAGTGGCCCCGCTTTCGTGGTGTTGGCTGACGTGTTTCAGCCCCGGGTTACCTCTAGGAATGGCTTAACACAACGATGCCTCCCGGCTTCCTGTTCACAGCCTTGCAGAGATTCAAACTCTCCCAACTATGAAATTTGATTTTGAATAGCACCGATTTGAATATAAATAGCTAAACCGCAGGCGTACGGCCTTTCCAGAATGAACATTTTTCTATACGTGTTGTCTACAATTTCTGAACAACCGTTTCCGAACGCGGTGATCACTAAGTTACAAGGTTATTCAAGACCCTCCGGGAGGCCCAAGAATGATCCCGGTCCCACAAACACTTGGGAAGAGACTCCAACAACACAAGTGACTCAGGCTAAGGCTGGTCGTGTTTATGAAAATAAATAAATATTTATTATGATTTCTTTAAGAATCCTCTTCATCTGACTCCGGAGATCTCTGTCCTCCTCACCGCCCAGAGTCCATCCCCCGCCCCCAGTCCAGGACTGGGGCACAATTCCGCTTCCTGCGCAAAGAGGAGGCTGCCGGTCCCAGGTGGCCGATGCAGATTCTTGGCCTCTTTCGACAGCAAGATGCTGGCCTTCCTTAGGTGCCCTCCCCGCCTGGCTGTTTGCAAGGAGACTTCCAAGCACAGAAATGACAGGACTGAGGCAGAGCCGAGGCGGAGACCTTGGAATACCCTGCACGCCTGGGCTCCGGGCTCGTCCCAAACCCGAACTCCAATCCCTGTCAAAAGGTGGCACGAGCCCCAAATCCGAGAGAAGGAGTAGGGCGAAGGGGCAGCGCCAGCGCCCTCCCCGTCCCCACCATCAGCCTGCGGCCGGGAAAGCACCCGCCGAGCCCTCCGCGAGTCTGCGCCCCGACTGCACCCACCCAGGTCCCCGCGGCGGGGGCAGGAGAGCGCTCGCTGCAGCGCGGAGAGCCCAGGGCGCGCGGCGCGCACCCCAACTGCTCCGTCTCCCCTCGGGGCCGGGCGGGGAGCGGACGCCGCGAGCCGTCCCTGGGGGAACCGGGGGCCACCGCCACCCCAAACCCCGCCAGATCAGCGGAGGAAAGGAAACGCCGGCAACAAGTGGGAGGCGCAGCCCCCTGGCCAGGGCCCGCGGGAGCCGAGAGCCGAGGGGACGGCGCGGGGCACCGGCACTCGCCCACCCCGGCGCCGCGCCCGCCCGGCCTGCGCCCCCAGCCGGCTCGTGGGGCTGCCCTGCTCCCGCCCCCGCGCGGCCCCGCCGCCGCCGCCCTCTTGCCACTCACTGCTGCACTCCTCGTCCGCGCACAGTTTGTGCTCCGCGAAGCGCCGGCTCGTGTCCGCGTGCGGTTGGCCCGGCACCCGCCAGGGCTGCCCGAGCAGGAGCAGCCAGAAGAGCAGCCCCGGCGCCGCAGCCATGTTGTGGTCACCGCGGGGGAGCCGGCGGCGCGGAGGCGGTGGCGAGGCCGGGCGGGCGCCGGCGGGCGGGGCGGAGGGCGGAGCGCGGCGGGCGGGGCGCGCGGCGGGGCGGGGCGGCGCCGGAGGCCGCGGCGTACTCCGCGACACGTCAGCGCGGCCTGGGTCGGGAGCTGCGGGCGCCGTAGGGGGCGTGCGCTCCGACTTCTCTCCCTCGCGCAGTTCCGCGCTCGCGGCCCCCGCGGCCGGCTGCCCAGTGTCCCCTCGCTCGCCCGGTCCCTTCGCACTCGCCCTCCGCGCCGCGGCGTTCGTCGCTCACCCCTCTCTGCGACCTTTGAGCCCCCATCCCGCCAGCCCACTACGGGGTCCTTTTCTGGCTCCTTCTCGCAGCTTCTCATTTCTGGTCCAGCCCGAACCAGCTCCCGCCCCCCGCCACCCTCACCCCCATTCTTGGTTTGGTGCCCCCTTTTCCGAACTACCAGATCCCTCCCACGAGCTGCCACTGTTAGTCTCTGGCTTCAAGCTCCATCTTCGGGCTCCCAGGGGTTCTTTGGGGGCCCCCTCTACGATCCCCTTCGATTGTAAGGGGCATGAGTGGAAGGGTGGGTTGGCGATGGAAAATGAGCTGGTGGCCGGCTTGGTCTCTTTCTGAGCCTCGGAGGATAGGGGCTGGCAGTGTATACCAGAGCTGAGATCTTAAGATTCTTGGGCCTTTTATCCCTAAGGGAAGAAGTAATTTAATTCAAATGTGTTGAGCTTCCACTTTATGCTATTATTTATGCATGCCAGACAGTAGGGTGGTGTGGGAAAGACGTGGATCAAAAGACAAGATACCAGGTGCATATCTGGCATCTGCCTTCAACTCGGGTCATGATCCCAGGGTCCTGGGATCCAGTCCCCCATCAGGCGCCCTGCTCAGCAGGGAGCCTGCTTCTCCCTCTCCCTCTACTGCTCTGCCTACTTGTGCTCTCTGTCAAATAAATAAATAAAATCTTAAAAAAAGAAAAAAAAAAAAAAAAACAAGGTACCTGGCCCTTGACTAAAGAAATCCACAAATTAGTGGAAGCCAACTGACACAAAAACTGCTAAAGGATAAATAGCAAGTAGGGAAAAGCTAATAAATTGAAAGTTGCTTTTACTGAGCTCTTTCTTCATCGAATCTTCACAATAGAGGATGCTATTACTATCTTCCATATCTGAGATGAGTAAATTGGGGCATTCACACATCTAGTGAGAGATGGAGATCAGATTCAAACCCGGGGAATGTCCTCCCTTTTATTTTTTTACTTATTTGACAGAGAGAGAGATAGAGAGATCACAAGTAGGCAGAGAGAGGGGAAGCAGGCTCCCTGCTGAGCAGAGAGCCTGATGTGGGGCTCAATCCCAGAACCCTGGGATCATGACCTGAGCCGAAGGCAGAGGCTTAACCCACTGAGCCACCCAGGTGCCACCCAGGTGCCCCCCCCCCGTCCTCCCTTTTAATCACAACTCTGTAAAGCCTCCATCAAGCAACATGAAACTTTTGTACTTTCTTTCTGACTAGGGGAAGCAAAATCCGGTTTAAATCACTGTAACTGAATTATCTGAATGTGCAAAGAAAGAAGGAAAGCCCACAAGCCCACACATCAGCCCAGAGAAGAGCACCTGCGATGTTCTGCAGGTGGTTGGAGCACTTTGCATTGGTCAGTCTTTCCATATCTCAACAAATGCCATTTTAATTCCCATCTTCCAGGTGCTCAAGTCAAAAACTTACTTCCTGGCACCCTTTTTCTCACACCCAAATCCAATCCATCAGACAATCCTGAGCTCTCTTTATATTAATGGTTTTATTGGAAGGTAATTAGCATATTATATATAATAAGCTGCATATAATAACTTGTGTGTAACAAACTGCACACATTTAAAGTGTACCGTTTGGGGGCTGACTGAGTCTGGATGACTCAGTCAGTTACATGTCTGCCTTCAGCTCAGGTCATGATCTCAGGGTCCTGGGATCAAGCCCCACCCCACATTGGGCTCCCTGCTCAGCAAGGAGGCTGCTTCTCCCTCCTCCTCTGCCATTCCCCCTGCTTGTGCTCTCTTGCTTTCTCTCTCTCTCTCTCTCTCTCTCTCTCTCTGCCAATAAATAAATAAAACCCTTAACAAAAATTAAAAAACAATAAAGTGTACAGTTTGTACTGTAGACCTGAGTCTACAGATACTGATACCTGAGACCATCACTATGATTAAGATAATTAACTATATCCATCACTAATAAAAGTGTCCTCATGCTCCTTTGTAATCCTTCCCTCCCCTTTCCTGCCTGTCTCCAAACAACCTTCTGTTGCTATAGATTGATTTATAATTTCTGGTATTTGTTATAAGTGGAGTCATATAGTATGTCTTCTTTTTTTGTCTGTTTTCACTCAGCATAAGCATCGGAACTACATCCAGAATCTAACCACTCTCACCACCACCTATGTGAACACTGTATGACCAGGCCACCATTATCTCTCACCTAGATTACATTAGCTTCTGACTATTCTGCCTTTGCCTCCCAAGGTCTACTGTGTCAACAGCAACCAGAGTAATCATTTCATGTCATAAATTTGGTCATCTCTCTCCTCTGCTCAAAACCTTCCTACAGCTTTCCACTTCCAAGTAAAATGCATGGACAGCCCTGTCTTTATGAAGGACTACATTGTCTTACTTGATCTGACCTCGCTAATCCCTTTTACCCCCACTTCCTAACACTCTCGTCTTGCTCAGTTGGTTCTACTCAAACTCACTAAGCCCCACTCTTGCATCAGAGCATTTGTACTTGCAATTCATCAACCTGGAACGGTTTTCCCAAAGAGTCCACCGGACTAGATCCCTCACTTTATCAAGTGTCTGTAGCAAGACCATTTCTTGTTAGGCCTTTCTTTATCACTCTCCATAAAATAGAGCTCCTTCCAAGAATATGGAGTTCACCATCCAGCTTTGTTTTTCTTTAGAGTACTTCCACCAGCCTTACATTTGTCTATCTGACTGCCTTCCCCCACCCCAAATATAAGTTTTAGGGAAGCAAGGAATTTACTTTGTTCATTCCTAACATAAATGCCTAGAAAAGTGTCTGGAATGTATAAGATACTCAACAAAAGATTTGTGGGATCAACTCATGATAACTCACATAGTATAAATATTTTATATCATTAACCTACAGGGAGCCTCCATATGTTAATAGCACCAAGAGGAAACATGCTATAATAACAAGGCATTTTGTGTCTTCCCCTCAGCAGCATCCTCAACACCTGGAACAGAATCTGGAATACATTTATTGTTGATTGAGGGCATATTTATTATAGAGGGAGTGAATTAAATTGCAGTGTATTTTTTCCTATGTATTACTGGAATAGATAAAGCAGATAAAGGTAATTCTAATTTTTCTTATTTCTTTTTGGGATAGAATTAATGACAATTCATTGGTGGAAAAGCCAAAATTACAAAATGATCTAATTCAATATTATTTCACTAATATTTACTTTGACTAATATTCAGATATGCTTTTGTATGAAGGGTGAGAGCTCTCAGTTGCTGAAGAACTGCCTACTTAGCTTGTTGATTTTCTGGGATTTTCATTTATCTACATTCATTATCATTTTTGTTGTTATTATTATTATTGCCTTAAAGAAATATTAACAAGTTCAGTAGACAGAAAAAAATTCTCAGCTGACCACAATGAGGGTGGTTCTGCCAGTATATATGTATGTGTGTGTGTGTGTGTGTGTATATATATATGTATATAATGTATGTATGTGTATATATATATATATAATATATATATATAAAATTATAGTGGATGAATCAGCATTCATCATTAATAGCATTTGAGTATGTGGCCCTGATGCTTAACATAAATTCTAATCCCAGGTATATTATTTGTTAACACCTCAAATGGAATTTTTACTGGGTAAGGTTGAGTAAGACTTAAAAAAATAAATGTGTCTAGTTGGGGGGGTATAAAAAATAAGACTTGGAGGGTTTTTGCCCTTAAAGAATTGTCAGTCTGCCTGAGAAGGAAAGACAAATGCATTTGAAACAAAGAGGAAACAGAATAATAATATATATAATTGTAAACTCCATGGTGCCTGCCCAGAAACTTCTAGAAGGTGTAATACTGAAGTTACCAGAAAGAACACAGTCTACTGCCAACAATGAGGCCACTCAGAGTCCAGAGAATGGTGTAAAATATTTATTGAGGACAATGGCTTCCAGGCGAGATGGAGTAACGGGCAAGATTTACCCTCCCATGTTAAACATATGAAAAAATTGGGCAAAATATATGAAACAATAATTTTTAGATGTTGGACAACAAGCAGTGGTCTCTACGAAAAGTGGAACAAATGAGGGGAGTGCTATGATTTTCTCAGCTTACTCTCTGGATGAATTTTCCAGGCTACAGCCAGAGAAGGACATGCAAACAGGTGATATCCTTGAGTTGAGGAGAAAGATTTGAAAGTTTGGGGAGGTCAAGGCAGCTAGGGAAGAGAACAAGTGAAAAGAGAGGTGCATGGGAAAGACAACTGCACAGAGCTCCAGAGAACAGCGGAGGGTTCTGTCAAGTCTTCAACTGAACAATGATAAGCACCTGTGTGCAAAGAACTACCTGAAACCAGTGAAAGAATCACCAGAGAGGGTAGGAAGAAAACCGTTGGAGGAAAGAACAGTTTGTGCTCCACCAGCAAGAGAGGAAAATCTATAATAAACAGGGCATCTCGTAGATTGTTCAGCAAAGGGGAAACTGTCAGCTTACAACTAAAAGCTACCCTAACAAAGCTTTAAAACAAGCTTTGAAAATATCAATATATTTGGGCCACCTGGGTGGCTCAGTTAAGCATCTGAATCTTGGTTTTGGCTAGGGTCATTATCTCAAGGTTGTGAAATCCAGCCCCACTTCAGGCTCCACACTCAGCAGGGAGTCTGCTTCTCTCCCTTTCCCTCTCCCACTACCCTGCTCATTTGCGCTCTCTCTCACTCTCAAAC